CAGCTGAGGACGACCCCGCGGGGGCGCTCTGCGGTCTAGGTCCCAGCATGCAGCGGGCACACCTTGCCCTCACACACTGCACAGCTGAGGACGACCCCGCGGGGGCGCTCTGCGGTCTAGGTCCCAGCCCGCCGCTCAGCAGTACCACAGGGGAGCAGGATCCCAGAGACCAGGCAGAAAGGGGCCTTCTGAGAGGCCCTCTGTTTGTCTGGCTGTCCTGACTCATGCTCCACTAAGAGCTTAAGAGGAAAGACAGGTCCCGGCCCTGAGTCAGGGGAGCTGCTCGCTCCGCACACCGGCACCCTAGGAAGTAGAGCAGGTTGCAGCTATCCTGTCTCTGCATCCAGCCACCGCTCTTCTAAGCATCTACTTCCCGCCTCTCCCGCTCCACTCCCTGGTGGAGTCAAGGGTGGGTGGAGGGCTCGCCTTGGCAACCTCCTTCGTGCCTACCCAAGTTTCTCTTATTCTTTACAAATCTGGCTTTCTTCCCCTTCCGAGACTCATTTGGAGGTCTCCACTTCAGGGATCTCTCCCTCGTTCCAAGGTTGGGCAGGGCACCCGGGCACTGTTTTGCTCTGGCTTCCGCTGAGGGCCGCTCCTGGGGGCTGGGGGGTGGTCCCTGCTGTACAGTACGCATGCGCGAAGGCTACCCTGCGTTCACTTGTTTGTATGGCTGTCAGCCATCGCAGAGTGGGCTCGCGACAAGTGGCCAGTTCCACAAACTCAAGAACAACGCAGCCCCAGGTTGAAGGGAGACCATCAGAGAGGAGCAGCAGGTCCCTAGAGACAGGCCTTCCTCTCAGCAAGCAGGACTTCTGTCCTCGGGTCACTGCCTGTGCGGGGAAGCCATCCGGCAGCTGTGCTCACAAGATAACAGAAGAGGGCACGTTAGAAACCCGGGGACGTAAGGGTGCTTCCACATTTGTGCACGCATGGACAAGAACACACATGTACATTGGCACACATTTGTGAATATCCCAGATACATGTGGAAACATGCATAAATGTGCACACCACATGCATTTTTGCATGCACACGCTGCTTTCTGTGTGCGCCTCTGCTTGGGTGCTTATCTGTGTGTGCAGCCAATGGCCACTAGAGGGCGAGCTGGGCTTGCTTTTGGGAGGCAGGATGGGTATTTCCTGGCCAGGCTGAGGGATGGAAGTGTCCACCCAAAAGGAGGCAGTCGGGGCAGGGGTCCCCCAGGAAGCCAGTTGTCCCAGGGCTGGGGCTCGCCCAGCAGGCACGTGCAGCCGAGGCCCAGGCTGGTGGTGCTGTCAGGAGCACAGGACTAGGGCACCATTCCCTGTCGCTTGGGGCTGTGCTGGGGATGCTTCTCAGCGGCCCACACGCCGACCACAGAGGTGTCTGGTCTGCACTGGGCTGGCTGGCGTGGCTGGAGGTTTTGCTGCATTTATTTTAAGATGCTGCTGCAGGACTTTTCCTCCTGGCCCTGCTGTGCATTTCGCTCCTTGGCCAAGCAGGTAAGTCTGCAGTGACCGGCAGGGCGGGGCCTGGTTTCCTGGGTGCTCCTGCCTTACCCTAGAGACAAGATTGCTGTGTGTGCATGTGAGCCTTAGTCTGGGCCTGGCCCACCTCTGATGGTGGGCTGTGTCCTCGTAAGGCCCAGGCTTCCAAGGCCAGGGGCTGGCCAGGGTGCATTCTGGAGGTCAGTGGCCATCTCCTGGGCCTTGTGGGCCTGGCCTACACAGCCCCAAACCGTTATCAGCCCTCTGTAGGGGGGAGGAGGCTGGGTAGGCTGTGGTCACCTGTGTGTCCACGGTCACCTGCTGGACACCTGCAGGGGCTCCCTGTGGCCAGCCGAGCCTGGTGCCTAGGTGTCCTTTGGGCTGTCGCTGGGCACAGAGATTTGGGCTGAGGCCCTGGTGTGGGTCTTGCTGTCAGCAGCAGAGCAGTACTGAATTTGTTAAAAACAGATCGGACCATTTTCAAGTTTGAGAGCAGGAAAAAAAACCACAAGCAGCTGTTTCTGAGGCTCAAGTTCGCCTCCCTACGGCTCAGCTTGTGAATTCCACAGAACATCCATCAATAATGCAGGGCAGCCTGCCCTGGAAAGGATCAAAGCCTCCGCAGCCAGCGCAGCCTCACAGGACTGTCCCCCCACGCCCAGCTGGGGTGCGGAGCTGCGGCCCCCACCTCGCTCCCTGGGACCCTGGCTCCGAGGAGCCCACCAACGCTTGCACCCTGGCCTACTCAGAGCGGTGCTGGGGGCCTGGGCCTGCTATGCTGCAGCACAGTGGGCCTGGTGCCCAGCATGCAGTGGGCAGGAGATGTGAACGGAGGCTGGGAGCCCAGTGACAGACCCCCTCGTCGCTTCTGCCCCTAAGGGCCCAGGCCAGTGCAGATACTGCAGCTGCTCTGCTCCTGAGGAGCTCCTCTAGGGCGAGTATGCTTGAGCCTGTGTCCCGAGACCCTGTCCTGGCCCGCATGTCCCCTTGGGCGCTCCCTGCAGGCAGTACTGGAACGCCCATCCCCTGTGACCCTGAGGAGCTATGGGCAGAGGACTGGAGGACTCCCGGCGCAGGGTGCTATGGAGTAGGGCGTGTTGCCACGTGACCCGGCCACCTCACCATGGTCTCTGTGCAAAAGTGCTGAGAACAGGCATCCTGGAAAAGGCTGCCACCGATGCTCACTGCAGCCAGAGCGACGGGCTGCACACACAGGTTGGGCTCTGGGCCTGGGAGCCACTGTGGGGCCACACACACGGTGCAGTGTGGCACCCGCTGCCCCATGCACTGCCCTCAGGAGCCTGCTCCCAGCAGCTGCGGGCCCCCAAACCTGTTTGGAGTATGCACATCAACAGGGAGTGTCCCGGGCAGGCTGAGGACTTCGAGCACAAAGGCAGTGGGGCATCTGCCAGTGCAGATGCCAGGAGCTGGGGGAGGTGGCAGGTATCGTGCCGGGCCCGTGCCAGGCACCCTGGACACGTCAAGTGGGGAGGGCGCAGTGGCATGTGACTCCTGCCTCGAGGTAGTCATAGAGCATGTGTGTCCTCTCAGGTCCCCGCTGCCCTTGGGTCCTGAGGAGCTCTGGGCCCACCATCTCCTGGTGTGGCTCTCCAAGCCGAGGGTCACGTGGTGCTAGCAGCACAGGCTCCCTGCAGGGCCTGCAGGGCCCCCAGGGGGTGCCCCCAATGCAGGTGAAGGTGCAAGAGACCCTGTCCTCAGAGGCCCTCCAAGCAGCACTGCAGAGCCCAGCGAGGTGACACCCTGCTGGGGACATCCTTGGGCCTCCATGAATCGCCACCTGCTGGCCCTGCCCTTGGAACAAAGCTGAAACCCTGGGCGGAGTCTGTGGTTATGCTGCTGCTGGGTCAGACAGGCAGGTCTCTGTGAGCCTGTCACATTGCCCTTGGACACCCAAGGGGACTGGGACCACCTGGCTTCCCCCGCTCTGTACGACCAGGTAGACCGCCATTTCTCAGAGGCATTTCCTGCCTCGGCTTCCAGGTGAGGGGCCAGCACATCTGCTCTGGGGGGGGGGGAAGCGCTGCCCACTCCCCTCCCGTTCTCTCTTCCTTTCTGTCCCTGCCTCTCACTTTCTGTGACAGTCACTAGCTGTTGCCCAGTGGCACATCAGGCATGGCTGAGAAGCGGTGTTCAGGGCGGGAGACAAGCAGAAACAATA